AAACTTTAGAAAGGTTAATGCAAAAAATGTCGAGCTTTTTCGTAACCTGCCTAGCTGGCAATTTTTCGTCCTCCTTATACACAGTGAGCTCGCCCTCATTCAGTCTCCTTAGAATTAACCGCCTTCTCATTTCTTATCTGGTTTCCAGGGAGCGGGCTCGAGTTAACGCTTTAACAGCGTCTTGTTATTTCCGTTCGTGGAAATGTGTTTTCTTCGATCGGTTAAGAGCTTAATAACCGCCCTACCCTCAAATCTTTCGTTTTGCTGTTAAATAGAAGATGAAGCTAAACTTGCCTAAGTAAATAACTTTAAAAGTGAATCATGAATTTTGGAGAGGCTTTTCTAGTATTTCTAATCGTAACAGATTATATCAACAAGATATTATTTGTTTTGATTAACGAAGGTTAGTTATCTCTGCCCGACCTCGTGAGGAGGAAGTGCAAAGAAAAATAGGCAGCACATACCGGTAAAATAGCGGTCAGTCAAGCAGAATTTAGTTAAATTTAAGAGCTTTCGACACGTTGTCACGAAATAAAATAACGCGGTCCCTATTTAACAATCCTTAAAATACACTGTAATCAAATAATAATTAATTGTCTATGGCGTTGTATTTATAGAGAAAGCAGTTTAATCTGCCTCGACTCCAGGCAGAGGCCAGACTTCAACTGGATATCCAGGCTGCCAAGACTGTTGCCTTTACAATACTGGCATTCTTTGTATGTTATATCCCCCCCGTCTGCATTGCAATCTGGGTTCCCCCCCAACCCGATGCCACCGCTGCCAGTTGGCCAGGACATGTGGCCCAGCTTAGCTTATTCCTTCCCAGCGGGACCAATCCTTTTATCTACTGTTTCCGAGCCAGAAGGTTTCGTCGAGCACTGAAACAGCTTTTTCAAGATCCCTGTGGAAAAACCGCTTTCCGAGAAACAGACCAAGAGAAGAGAGTCAAACAGAATGTTCCACCTCAGAATGCAAGAGTAGCTGAAAAAGGCAAAAAAATTGCGAAGGAACTTGGCGAGCCTATGCAAGATCCTTCAGCTGGCCCATCCAAGAGATACACACGTCAACTGGGTCTCGGAAAACGAGGCTGTAAAAAGGAGGAAAACAGTGGAAATAAGGGTAAAGAGAGAAGAGCGCGTTCTTTCAATCAGGTCACGCCCTTCTCTCTACAAGATGTACAACCTCAGATCATCCCACGGTTAGCTTGGGTTGATAACCATTCCATAGACTCTCCAGGGATACACTCCGATGAAGAAAAGCCAACGTGCGGAGAGGATTATACACAAAATAAAATAATTGTGGAGGTACATTTAGAACCTAACGATCGATCAACGAAACAGAAAAATGAAGAAAATCTCACAACACGTAATGAGAACTTTTCCAAGGGGGAAGAAGTCTTTGCAATGGTTCAGTCTGATTCCAGGGACGGTCAATCAAATCATAAAATGATAAAAAGTTCAATGGTTACTGCAGATTACCATGGACACGTCATCGTGGAAATGTCTGAAACAGATCCTATGAGCCATTTATCAAACCCCATAATTATGGAGAGTCCTGCGGCTAATGAGGACAATGCAAGAGAAGTTGTCGCGGACGTTAATTCAAGTTCAACAGACGACCCATCACAGGAGAAAATTGCAGAAAGTCCAACTGCCTGTGCCGATTACGCAACACGGATCACCTCAGATACTAAAGAACAACCAGTAGACCAGGAAAACGTGGAAATTCAACTAGATTTCTCGGACGCAGTCTTTGTAGAGGACAATTCATGAGCCTAGGGCGTAGCCTTAAACGGGAATATTTTGCAACATCCACCTTCTAAAGCAGATTAAATTTTCCAAGCTGAGAACTTTAATATAAACCGTAATCGTAAACTAGTGCCCCGCTAAGATAATTGTGCTCACCTTAAATTCCTGAAAAATTTTCTTTGAAAATAATTTACAGCGTCATTTGTTTTGTTAAATAGTGGGAAATGTTGGGGTGTACTGAATGTGTGCTGGAAAGACTATTTCTGTCCCGTCCCTCTCTCCATATTATTAATATCGTCTCCAGATTGTTGTTTCTCTTCATTCCCGTGCAACGCTTGGATAAAAGTGCTTATTCTGCTGCTCATTAAAAGAAGAATCTTACACAGTTCCTTATCTCCAGGGAGCATAAAGTGTTAAGTAAATAGAACACAGCAAATCTAAGTTGATTGATAATTTTTAGACTGCTCTTTGCCGTTCCGCATGAAAGAGTTTACGTCTCATACCTGTGGTAAATGAAATGAAAGAATTTTTTCCAAAACAAAGTATACTTTTGCGTTTTAAATGCTCCATTTTGCAGAGCTCCTAATACAAAGAAAATGAATATTTTGAAAATTTAAAACACTTAAACTTTTTTCGTTTTAAACTTTCTTGTTGATCTCCGTCCAAAACAAATGACACAGGGGAAAGAAAAGAATCTGTTCTCAAAATCTGTTCTACTCCCCTTGCGTTCTTATGAATGCTATCAAAAGATTTCTTTAGCTTCCAATTGACTGTTTGATCGTCATTTTTTTTAATTCCCCTTCAGCCCCTTAAGCGCGTAGGAGGAAGGAGAGCAACTCCTCTTACGCTCTTTCTCACGCGCCCGATATGTCGGACTAACAAATCGACAGCATGCAACTTTCCATGATCTGTACTCTTATAGACCATAGAAAATAATGACGTCAAAATGTTCAAAACTCAAGTGTAAGCATGAGCCGCAGGCGAAAGGTTTCTCTGCAAATTTTTGAACGTTTTGACCATTTCCTGATCATTTCTATGGTCGCTAAAAGTACAGACCATGGACATTATTGTCGATTTGTTATTTACTAAACATCGATAATTTTTGACGTCCGTGGCGCGCCCGAGAGAGAAAAAAAATCGCGCCATCATCACGTCATTTCCATGATCTGTACCCTTATTGAACATAGCTCTCCACCAATCAGCGGGCGAGAAATCGTTCAGTTATTGTAAAAGCCTTTTTGAATCCCTCTGACACCTGCCATACAAGCTATCACGAGTTAAGTAAAAATTTCGGCGTAATTCCCACTCAGTTGTTCGTACCCAGGCTCGTACCCAGGCCAGTTCACGCCATCCGAGTTACAAGAGGAGGCTTGGAACCGAGCGCGATAGTCCTAG